TTAGCTCTGGAACTAACCTTGTTGCAAACCTTTGTACTTTCTCTAGTTTCTTGACGTGCTTTATCAAGTGCGGGTTCCAAACAGGTGCTGCATACTCCAGTATGGGCCTGACATACACGGTGTACAGTGTCTTGAATGATTCCTTACTAAGGTGTCGGAATGCTGTTCTCAGGTTTGCCAGGCGCCCATATGCTGCAGCAGTTATCTGATTGATGTGTGCTTCCGGAGACATGCTCGGTGTTATACTCACACCAAGATCTTTCTCCTTGAGTGAGGTTTGCAGTCTTTGGCCACCTAGCCTATACTCTGTCTGTGGTCTTCTGTGCCCTTCCCCTATCTTCATGACTTTGCATTTGGCAGGATTAAATTCGAGAAGCCATTTGCTGGACCAGGTGTCCAGTCTGTCCAGGTCTCTTTGAAGTCCTGCCTGGTCCTCATCAGATTTAATTCTCCTCATTAACTTCACATCATCTGCAAACAGGGACACTTCTGAGTCTAAACCCTTCCGTCATGTCGTTCACATATACCAAAAATAGCACTGGTCCTAGGACCGACCCCTGTGGGACCCCGCCCGTCACAGGTGCCCACTGTGATACATCATTACGTACCATGACTCGTTGTTGCCTCCCTGTCAGGTATTCTCTGATCCATTGCAGTGCCCTTCCTGTTATATGCACCTGATGCTCTAGCTTCTGCACTAATCTCTTGTGAGAACTGTGTCAAAGGCCTTCTTGCAGTCCAAGAAGATGCAATCAACCCACCCCTCTCTCTCTTGTCTTACTTCTGTTATTTTATCATAAAACTCCAGAAGGTTTGTGACACAGGATTTGCCTTCCGTGAATCCGTGCTGGTTGGCATTTATAACTCCTGTTCCGTTCCAGGTGCTCCACCACTCTCCTCCTGATAATTTTCTCCATAATTTTGCATACTATACACGTCAATGACACAGGTCTATAGTTTAGTGCCTCTTTTCTGTCTCCTTTTTTGAAAATGGGAACTACATTTGCCGTCTTCCATACCTCAGGTAGTTGCCCAGTTTCCAGGGATGTGTTGAAGATTGTGGTAAGTGGTACGCACAACATATCTGCTCCCTCTCTAAGGACCCATGGAGAGATGTTGTCCGGTCCCATTGCCTTTGAGGTATCGATGTCCCTTAGCAGTTTCTTCACCTCCTCCTCATCTGTATGTATGTCGTCCAACACTTGTTGGTGTATTCCTTGTTGGTGTCCCCATCTGGTCTGTCCCCCCAGAGTCCTTCCTGTCTCTACTGTAAATACTTCCTTAAATCTCGTGTTGAGCTCCTCACATACCTCTTGATCGTTTCTTGTGAGTTCTCCACCTTCTTTCCTCAGCCTTATCACCTGGTCCTTGACTGTTGTCTTCCTCCTAATGTGGCTATACAGCAGTTTCGGGTCAGATTTGACTTTCGATGCTATGTCGTTTTCATACTGTCGCTGGGCCTCCCTCCTTATCTGCGCATACTCGTTTCTGGCTCTTCTACTAATCTCCTTGTTTTCCTGGGTCCTATGCCTCCTGTACCTTTTCCATTCTCTGTTGCACTTAGTTTTTGCACTTAGTTTTTGTGTGTTTGTGTGTGTGTGTGTGTGTGTGTGTGTGTGTGTGTGTGTGTGTGTGTGTGTACTCACCTAGTTGTACTCACCTAGTTGAGGTTGCGGGGGTCGAGTCCGAGCTCCTGGCCCCGCCTCTTCACTGATCGCTACTAGGTCACTCTCCCTGAGCCGTGAGCTTTATCGTACCTCTGCTTAAAGCTATGTATGGATCCTGCCTCCACTACATCGCTTCCCAAACTATTCCACTTACTGACTACTCTGTGGCTGAAGAAATACTTCCTAACATCCCTGTGATTCATCTGTGTGTGTGTGTGTGTGTGTGTGTGTGTGTGTGTTTGTATGTGTGTGTGTGTGTGTGTGTGTGTGTGTATGTGTGTGTATGTGTGTATCTGTGTGTGTGTGTATGTGTGTATCTGTGTGTGTGTGTGTATATGTGTGTGGGTGTGTGTGTGTGTGTATGTGTGTATGTGTGTATGTGTACTCACCTAGTTGAGGTTGCGGGGGTCGAGTCCGAGCTCCTGGCGTGTGTGTGTGTGTGTGTGTGTGTGTGTGTGTGTGTGTGTGTGTATGTGTGTGTGTGTGTGTGTGTGTGTGTGTGTGTGTGTACTCACCTAGTTGTACTCACCTAGTTGAGGTTGTGGGGGTCGAGTCCGAGCTCCTGGCCTCGCCTCTTCACTGATCGATACTAGGTCACTCTCCCTGAGCCGTGAACTTTATCATACCTCTGCTTAAAGCTATGTACGGATCCTGCCTCCACTACATCGCTTCCCAAACTATTCCACTTACTGACTACTCTGTGGCTGAAGAATTTTTTTTTTTTTTTTTTTTTTTTTTTTTTTTTTAATTTATTTATAAGCGCTAAACCCTAGTGAGTCATTCAGCGCAAGACGTGTTGGAGGCTCGATCCTCCGTCTGGTCCCCTTGTTACTGTGTCCAATCTCTGGAACATCCTGTCTTTGTCCACCTTGTCAATTCCTCTCAGTATTTTGTATGTCGTTATCATGTCCCTCCTATCTCTCCTGTCCTCCAGTGTCGTCAGGTTGATTTCCCTTAACCTCTCCTCGTAGGACATACCTCTTAGCTCTGGGACTAGTCTTGTTGCAAACCTTTGCACTTTCTCTAGTTTCTTTACGTGCTTGGCTAGGTGTGGGTTCCAAACTGGTGCCGCATATTCCAATATGGGCCTAACGTACACGGTGTACAGGGTCCTGAATGATTCCTTATTAAGATGTCGGAATGCTGTTCTGAGGTTTGCTAGGCGCCCATATGCTGCAACAGTTATTTGGTTGATGTGCGCTTCAGGAGATGTGCCTGGTGTTATATTCACCCCAAGATCTTTTTCCTTGAGTGAGGTTTGTAGTCTCTGGCCCCCTAGACTGTACTCCATCTGCGGTCTTCTTTGACCTTCCCCAATCTTCATGACTTTGCACTTGGTGGGATTGAACTCCAGGAGCCAATTGCTGGACCAGGTCTGCAGCCTGTCCAGATCCCTTTGTAGTTCTGCCTGGTCTTCGATCGAGTGAATTCTTCTCATCAACTTCACGTCATCTGCAAACAGGGACACCTCAGAGTCTATTCCTTCCGTCATGTCGTTCACAAATACCAGAAACAGCACTGGTCCTAGGACTGGCCCCTGCGGGACCCCGCTGGTCACAGGTGCCCACTCTGACACCTCGCCACGTACCATTACTCGCTGCTGTCTTCCTGACAAGTATTCCCTGATCCATTGTAGTGCCTTCCCTGTTATCCCTGCTTGGTCCTCCAGTTTTTGCACCAATCTCTTGTGTGGAACTGTGTCAAACGCCTTCTTGCAGTCCAAGAAAATGCAATCCACCCACCCCTCTCTCTCTTGTCTTACTGCTGTCACCATGTCATAGAACTCCAGTAGGTTTGTGACACAGGATTTCCCGTCCCTGAAACCATTTTGGCTGCTGTTGATGAGATCGTTCCTTTCTAGGTGTTCCACCACTCTTCTCCTGATAATCTTCTCCATGATTTTGCATACTATACATGTCAGTGACACTGGTCTGTAGTTTAATGCTTCATGTCTGTCTCCTTTTTGAAAGATTGGGACTACATTTGCTGTCTTCCATGCCTCAGGCAATCTCTCTGTTTCGATAGATGTATTGAATATTGTTGTTAGGGGTACACATAGTGCCTCTGCTCCCTCTCTCAATACCCATGGGGAGATGTTATCTGGCCCCATTGCCTTTGAGGTATCTAGCTCACTCAGAAGCCTCTTCACTTCTTCCTCGGTTGTGTGCACTGTGTCCAGCACATGGTGGTGTGCCCCACCTCTCCGTCTTTCTGGAGTCCCTTCTGTCTCCTCTGTGAACACTTCTTTGAATCTCTTGTTGAGTTCTTCACATACTTCACGGTCATTTCTTGTTGTCTCTCCTCCTTCCTTCCTTAGCCTGTGTGTGTGTGTGTGTGTGTGTGTGTGTGTGTGTGTGTGTGTGTGTGTACTCACCTATTTGTACTCACCTATTTGTGGTTGCAGGGGTCGAGTCCTAGCTCCTGGCCCCGCCTCTTCACCGGTTGCTACTAGGCCCTCTCTCTCCCCGCTCCATGAGCTTTATCAAACCTCGTCTTAAAACTGTGTATGGTTCCTGCCTCCACTACGTCATTTTCTAGGCTATTCCACTGCCTTACAACTCTATGACTGAAGAAATACTTCCTACTATCTCTCTGACTCATTTGTGTCTTCAACTTCCAATTGTGGCCTCTTGTTTCTGTGTCCCCTCCCTGGAACATCCTGTCTTTGTCCACCTTGTCTATTCCACGCAGTATTTTATATGTCGTTATCATGTGTCCCCTGACCCTCCTGTCCTCCAGTGTCGTCAGGCCGTGTGTGTGTGTGTGTGTATGTGTGTATGTGTGTGTGTGTGTGTGTGTGTGTGTGTGTGTGTGTGTGTTGTGTGTGTGTGTGTGTGTATGTGTGTATGTGTGTGTGTGTGTGTGTGTGTGTGTGTGTGTGTGTGTGTGTGTGTGTGTGTGTGTGTGTGTGTGTGTGTGTGTATGTGTGTGTGTACTCACCTAGTTGAGGTTGCGGGGGTCGAGTCCGAGCTCCTGGCCCCGCCTCTTCACTGATCGCTACTAAATGTGTGTTGTGGTGTGTGTGTGTGTGAGTGTGTGTGTGTGTGTGTGTGTGTGTGTGTGTGTGTGTGTGTGTGTGTGTGGTGTGTGTGTGTGTGTGTGTGTGTGTGTGTGTGAGTGTGTGTGTGTGTGTGTGTGTGTGTGTGTGTGTGTGTGTGTGTGTGTATGTGTGTGTGTACTCACCTAGTTGAGGTTGCGGGGGTCGAGTCCGAGCTCCTGGCCCCGCCTCTTCACTGATCGCTACTAAATGTGTGTGTGTGTGTGTGTGTGTGTGAGTGTGTGTGTGTGTGTGTGTGTGTGTGTGTGTGTGTGTGTGTGTGTGTGTGTGTGTGTGTGTGTGTGTGTGTGTGTGTGTGTGTGAGTGTGTGTGTGTTGGAAGGTCGACTTACATGATGTAAACAAACAAGAGAGAAAGAGATAGGTCACCTGCTGTTACTGTCATCATCATCATCATCATTATCATCATCACCTGCAGAGATGCGTATCTCAGTCAACACTGAGAATGATATTATACCCCTGGAGGTGGCTGAGGACCTGGAGCTGGAGAACTTTAAGGCTCTCTGTGAGATGGAGGTGAGACAAACTGACCTCTTTATAACCTCTTAAATTTATTTAAGTACAATTACAAACATTTAATATGATCACAATATCGTACATAATAAAATGTGTAAAAATAACCAAGGATAATAACCCCTAGTCAAGTCAGAATGATTTATATCATTGTGGTCTTGAAGTGGCTAATTACTAAGTTTATTTAGGTATAAGTACACACAAGTAACAATTATCATATATAGTTTAATATATGTGTAAATTACTCAGGATAACCCAAAAAAACAGACAAAGTGACATATTTCCATTGTGGGCCTTGTATAAAAAATAATTTTTTTCACTTGCTGCATTGGTTTTTGTAAGTGAGCTTTAAGTTGTGGGTGAACTTATATAGTACATTATGTATACTTAAGCTAGGATAACCCATGTAAGTCAAGCAGTGAGTTATCTTTACTGACGTGATAACAGGAAAGTCTTTATTGTACTGATGATAATTGTTTTTTATAGTGTGGGTTGTGGTTGTGCACTTCCCCCCTCCCCCCCCTCCCCCTCCCCTCCCCCCCCCCCTCCCCCCTCCCCCCCCCCTCCCCCCTCCCCCCCAGAAGGTTCCTACATGCTGTGATGACCTCTTGATCCAAATAATTGTTCTTATCCTCTCCTTCCTTGGATCAAAGCTATTAATAATATTTAAAATTGTGGTGGTGATGAACAATATTTTGTAAGAGATGCCATTAAAACTAAGTTATATTATCTGGCTGTGTTGGCTTGTGCTACATTAAATTCTTAACCATATCACCACTGTATAATAACCACATGTGTAATGCAGATTTGTGGAAATTGAAAACTTAAGTACAGTGGTACCCCGAGTTTCGACCATAATTCATTCCAGAAGGCCGTTTGAGTGCCGTTACCGAACGAATTTGTTCCCATAAGGAATAATGTAAATTAAATTAGTCCATTTCAGACCCCCCAAAAATACACTTACAAAAGCACTTACAATAATACACTTACATGATTGTTCGAGTTGTGAGCTGTATGAAACTCTGGGTGCCACTGTATACTGTTTAGTTCTCAGTTAAAAAAAAAAAAAACCTGGGTTCAGTTGACTCCCAGGCTGGACATAATGTATGAGTAACATCCTGGTATCTAATACCTCCCCATTCACCTAGCAGTGACTGTATGACTGGGTGTTAATCGAATGTTGTGGGTCGCAGTCAGGGGAAGGATCTAAATATCTCAATGGAAATAATTGTGCTACTTAACTTTCTCGGGTTATCAACTTTCTGGGAGTTAATAAATATCTAAAAACTTAACCTGAATAAAAATTACAATACTTCCTTATAATTAGGTAAGTAAGTTTATTTGGGTACAGGTACACCTAGGTACAATTATCATACATTCAGAAATTCAAAATTCAACGTATTTATTTTTTGTGTCGCATACAAAGTGTAGTTTCTGTGTAGTAAAGTATTGTTAAGCACAGAGAAAGCCACTAGTATAAATTGCTTAGGATAACCCCAAAAAAAAGTCAGACAAAGTGATACTGAACTCTGTTGTTGTGGTCAAGTCTGTATTAAAGTACTTTTTCCTTCTATTTGGCAGCATTGCTATTTTCAGTGTTGTCTTTCTCTGTAATGAGTCCCTCAGCTCTGAGAGCTGTTTGATAGCATATCTTTGATAACATATCTTTAGATACTTTACATTGTTTTTAAGGTCTGATCACCATAATATAGCTGAATTATCTAATTTTGGTCTATTGGTTGCCAAAGTTGCCATGGAGCCTGTGTGTGGCTGCTGAGCTTTTCTGCCATATCAGGTCCCCTCAAGGAAGGTTCCTTGATGTTGGTGAGGGGCTCTTGATTTAGGGAATTGGATCTGTGCTCCAGTTCCCCAAATTAAGCCTGAATGCCTTCCACATCCCCCCCCAGGCGCTGTATAATCCTCCGGGTTTAGCGCTTCCCCCTTGATTATAATAATAATAATTCTGCCATATCAAATTATAAATTTGAAATGAAATATTCCAGTTTTATTTGGATTGTATAGCTTTGTATATTATGTAGCCACAGTTTCCAATTATTTGTAGCAAAAATGAGTAGTACATTACAGTATTGTCAATTTGTTGCAAGAGTGGTGATTCTTGACAGGTTGTGACAGTGCAAGCTGTGGTACTAGTGCAGATAATTTAAGTACGTACAGTGATGTTTGAAGATATTAAAATGTCATTAAGAGTTCTGTATTTAGTTTCTATTATTCAGAACTGATTTAGGTCATCAATTCACTGTATGATAATTTATGTAACTGTATTTATGTGTACCTATACCTGAATAAACTTACTTATTTACTTTGTATTATGCTTTTATTATACTACTGTATACCTATTTTGCTATTTTCTTATTATGTTTAACAATCACTCATACATTACTCTTGTCTTGATATTCATACCTTGCATGTGTTTCATTATTGTGGATGCCCTTAGATTTATGATTGTATTTTAATTATTCCATAAAAAATGAATAAAATTGACTGGTTGTCTGTAAATCAAAGTTCAAATGCCTGTACTACTGTATATGTATTTTAAGAATAGGCAAAAAAATCCATGCTGAGTACAGTACCAGTAATGCCTGCAGGCCAGCTGAGAAAGTTGATTAACTCTCAAAAGTAGTCACAGATAAAAACCAGTAAGATTTGTAGCTAAAATCTAAAATATCTTAATTATTATTGAAGAGCTGTAAAAAAATTCCAAATCCTTTATACTTCTTAATACCGTGTAATCCTGTATTTATGCTTAAAGACTATTTCTAATTCCATTTACTATACTTATGTGATCGAAAATATTTGGTGTTTATTTTGGAATGGACTCTGTGGGGCTTACCATTATTTATAATCATAAGAGAAAGAGACTGCTTTGAACTGATTACTCAGAAACAGTTGTTTTCCTTAGTTAAAAACAATTGTGCTCCTTAATTAAAAACAATTGTGCTCCATAATTATTGCCTTTTGCTTCAGTTCTTGTAGTAAAGTCCTTTTGTATAATACTTCGTATTACACTTAACAGGTCGGAATCCCTGTTGGAGAAATGGTGGTAGTGTTTAATGCACAACCTCTCACAGACAATAAAAAGAGTCTAAAAGATTATGGCGTGAAAGACGGAGAACTCATCATGATCATTCGAAGCAGTACCTTGTTCAGAAGGGCAGCAGAGCATATGCAGCAAAGGCGACAAGAGCGATCAGTTCCTTCAGGTATGGTGTGTAATGTTCAATTATTACTGTACTTTCTTGTGGATTTTCAACACTAGTTATAAAATCATGTCAAATTGAGGAATATATGTAATTCAGGTTATCCCACATTTAAAAAGGTTGATACATCTAAGGCCTGCATGGGTGATTGGGTAAAAACAAGGAAGTTTAAATTGGAAGTTAGATAAAGTATGTGTGTCAAGCAAGACAACACTCATTAACCCGTAAACGGTCCAAACGTATATATACGTTTTTTCAACATTTGAAAGTATGTAAAAAAAGCACATCTTCTTTTTGTTTTTTTACATTTGAAAATGTGTAAAAAAACTTTGATCTACTTTTTTTTTTGTTATATTTGAAAATATGTAAAAAAAACGTAGATCTACTTTTGTAGCACCACACATGTGAACGTAGATCTGCTTGGACCGTTTACAGGTTAATAAGATGTCTGAATAGGCTTGTGGAAATACAATTCAGTACAGTTCAGGAGGTCCCCAACTTATGAACATTTCAATTTACACCCATCAACACTTATAAATGGGGCATTCAGTTGAAGTTTTATAAGTGCTGAGCTGTAGTATGAACATGTGAAACATAAACAGCATTTTTTCACTTTTATTTTCTATACAAACAAATCATTTGTAAGAAGAAGAAGACATAAGTTGCAGAACTATCTTCTATTTGGATATTTCAGTCTGTGTAGAGATTTATTAATTTATGATGAATCTCTACACTGAGCCAAAATATTGTCCCAATGAAAGTTTGTTCTGCAATATGTCTATTATTCTTTACACTTTTGGCAATATATTTCTTCATGCAGTTTATTTGAAAAAAGGTAAAACCAGGAATGTAGCCCATTTGTAAGTGGAGACCCAACAGACATAAACAACATAAAGCCAAGTCCTAACTTGCCATTACTGTTTTTAATCTTATTTTTTGGAAAAAAAAAAATACGTACTGTATTACATACAAATTAGCCATGCATTCATAACTGAACATATTCCTAACCCTTGGCAGTTTAATTTCAGATCAGGAAAAATATGAATGATGCAATAATAAAAATGTTTGACTTAATATCTTCATCTGTAAAATAAAATATTGAATATCCTGTAGGCCTCTTTATTGATCTAAGCAAATCTTTTTATACAGTAGACCACATCATCATGCTGCTTGAACTAGATCATTATGGAATCAGAGGCCGTGCTCTTACCTTAACCACACCAGCTGGTGACCATTAATAGCAATGCAGTGAACCCTCTCATTAATAGACTAATTGGGGGGAGGGGGTGAATGTTATTGCCAATTGTCCAAAACTTCTGAACTATGAAATTAATTTTTCATGATCATGTGGTTGTTTTCTGAACCACCAGATTTGGTCCACTATTGCAGAAAACAACCAGACACTAGGAATACAGATGTTTACAGTAATTTTACTTACCTTTTCATGGTGGAGAGATGAGGTATAAACTGCCATGATCAATAATGGTGACTCAGAATAACTTTTATACTGAATCAGAAGAGTCTTAAAGGTCTACTGTCATCTACACTAAACTTAAGAGCATAGTCTGTAAGTTTATCATGGCTTCTTTGAATGTCAGATAAAATAGTGGGCATTCTTTCAGCAGTACATTACTTTGTACCCCAAACAACCTTACTCACTATACTACTCTAATCTCTCCTTACTTCACCTTTGGTATATGTGCATAGGTATCTACAACAGTAAATCACCGAAAACCCTTTATATCTCACCAATAATCTGCTATCACGCTGTAGAATGATCAGTATGGTTCCAGACAACAAACTCTCACTGTTCAAAAGTTTAGATTTTTTTTTTCAACAAGTTGGCTTGTTTTCTTGTGGCTGATTTTCTGTAATGAGTCATAGTATAGCAAGTAATCCCTCATTTAATCTAAGCCTAATTAGAGAGTACTCTGCCATCATCTGAGTCTCATAAGTCTTCAACCTTCTGTCAGCAAATAAAACACTAGAAAAATTTCTATGAAGATACCTGATCAACTGGGCTGTTGGTTATGTGGCTTTTAACACAGATAGAAATATGTCTGTCCTGGTTGATCATGTGGTCATCAGGGAAATATGGTCACGTGCCTCACCGTGGGATTAGAAAATCTCCCAAAACTGGTAACAAATATCAAAATCATCTCTCTCCATTTAAATATTATTAAATGAAGATTTGTATGGATTTATGCATAATTTAGCTGGATTTTTGTATTTTTATTTTAAAATGATTGTTTAGTTTTTTGTACCCTGTATTTTATTTTCAATTACTGTACTTACAGAAAGTGATTTATGTATGCTGTATTGCTATTCCAACATGTCTGTTGGAAAGTACCATGTTCTTTATCTTAAATGTAAATGATTAATGAAATAAAATGGAAAATTCAAATTAATGCCCAAGGACCTCTTCAATATTAGCAAGGTGATATCTGCTGTACATTATTGAAAATCTCTGGCAACACTACCCTGACAAGATCATCTGACAGTGCAGTACCACATGAGTAGATACACAAGCTCTTTCACTTTCAAGTCTGTGGGTGTTTTTTTTCTCTTGTGTAGTATGATAGTTTTGTCTTGAGGGCAGTATGGCTAGGAAACAATCTCAGAGAGAAATTAAGAAATTTCTTGTAAACTGCAGGAGTGATGAGGGTACTGAAAAAATGCTGGTAGTGCAGGTGAACTTGCCAATGAGGTTGAAATGCCGACATAGTTAGATTCAGATGTTCTCCATAGAAGAGTAAGCAGTTCACCTATAAAGCATACAGTGTGCCTATTTGGAGTCTCAAGACAAAATTTGAGGTTAACCTTTATTATGTAGACATTGACTCAACAACTGAATATTTACTACAGAAGTAGGGACAACAGGATATATTTTATAGATGTAGTGAAAAGTTAACATTATAGGATATTTTCTTGTTTTTCAATATGGATATGAAGACTGAAGGCCCCAAAGTTTTGGCAGTGTAAGAAGCCTTGAATGAAAATATGTGATGAGTCTAAAACATCATACATTTATTTATTAATTAAAAATGCACTTTAACAATATTGGATATACAGCACTGATATTTTGAAGACTGAGGGCAAATTCTTGCCATTTAAACCAAAGAAAATGCTAGGCTCTCTGTCCATAGACTTACTAGGAAAACCATAAGCACTCAAGCACAGCTTATAGAATCCTCCTCACCATGTAAAGGTGCACCAGCATTGTCCACAGACTGTGCTTGGAAGACACGAGTTGACCAATCACAGTCTATGGGATTCCCCACCATATAACCTGACCATGCTGTAGGGGTGTTTACAGGTAATATGAGTAGATTTCTCTGGAGATTCCATGATATATATTGTGTCATATAAATTTTGAATGGCAAATAAAATATGCTAGTAACTCCTTGTTGTGCTGAATTACAATCCTCTACAGTAACATGCCTTTGGCTCTGATAAAGTTTTGAAAATTGAGCAGAATCATTGAAAGTCAGACTGGGATAAGGAGAAATGTTTATTAATCTCTAAAAACCAAGTCATCATAACACTAACAATGTTCTCTAAAGGCATGCATATGCATTTTGTAAGTGCTGTGAATCTTTGGTTATTTAGGTTTGCGTGATCTTTGTTAAATTTTGGAATGTGAAGGACTACAGCTCCCTGTTGCAGAGTTAGCAGTGGTTTGAGGTTCATGTTAATTTGAGCTATGAAAATATAAGTTTAGAGATGACTAATTTTTTATGAATGTAGATTTTTTTTGTTTTGTCCTAGTGCAGATTCAAATTTGGTTCAAATTCTTGTTGTGTAATAAGTTGAACACACTCTTCAGCATGAATGTTGCATCAAAGTGCTGTATAAACAGTATTGAATATCCATTTTAAAGTTCATATTTTAATTTTAAGAATTCTGCTGTACATCAGGTAACATCTGAAATGGAAACTCTGTTTAAATTTGATGCTTTTACTACTTACAAAGTGTCATCCTCCATAGACCCTAAAATTTTCAATACAAAGAAATACTTTTAGAGTAGCATCCTTTAATGATGTTTATCTTCTTCCATAGCTCAAGATACGGAGAGGAGAGGTGATGAAGGTAATATAGTGAGGAGAGGACATAGTTCTCTTCCAAGTGATTCAGCAGCAATCCTTGATGGACTCTATACAGTATTTGTAAATAATGTGCATGCTGTAGTTACTCAGTGTTATTAGCTCACACGTTCCTACCCCTCATAAGTACCCATGTAACTGTTGAACACTATATGGAAAGTGAAATGCTTATATACAGATGTATTGAGGAACTGCTGTTGGGTTATTTGTATCTTACACAATACCATTATAGTGTATGTGAATGAGAGGGCTGCAGCAGGAGCAGGAGTCCTGCTGTACATAGATGAAAACTTGACAGCAATTAGCAAAGATCATCTGAATGACATGAAGACTTTGGAATCTGTAAAATAATCTTCTGCTGAGTCTCAAAATAATAAATATGTATGTATTCCCATAAAGTTAGCAGCTTAAGTCAGTCAGTCTTCAGGGGAGATTTTAATTACAAGACAATAAAGTGAGCATAACCTATAATCACGCTGGGATTTCATCGGTATTTTGTTCCTTGATTGGGTCGTACCATGTTGAAGCTTTTCGTGTAGGAATCATGGGGATGGGTAAGGTAAAGGAAGTCAGTATCTGAATGAACAAGCTTAAAACCTGTGTTTCAAGGTTATGGCTGATCAATAATTACATGTAGAAAAATAAAATCTAAGAATACCTTGTTCTAAGAGAACAGTGTTAATGCATTCTTAGTAGGAAGCTAATCCAAGAGATGCAGTCTTCAAGGGGCTGTTGAGCCAGAGAATTGCAGTTACTCTTCCTTACCTTAAATCAGACTTGATTACCTCTCTAAAACAGGTGTTGTATAACCTTTATGGGTTTAGAGCATCTCTGTGATTATAAAACTCCAGACAGGAGAATTTTTTAAAGCACTATGCATTCCACCAAGATGTGTTTAACAATAAGTGCAACAAAGCAGGAATGGCGGATGAGTTACTGACTTCTAGATATTTGCGAGTAAACCATTGGTGACTAAACCTGCTACAAGCTATTATTATTTTGCATCAACATGACTGAAAGCTTGGATGTGTCTAGTGTGTGCTATGTATATGTTTTCACTGCATTGAGTTTGTTCTTGAGAATGCTGTTCCATTGGTCTTGCCATTTATTGTTGATGAACATGTAGATGTGTCAGAGGACAGTTTATGGGGTCATCTGATGAAGCACTTTCAGCTACTCTACTGGCTCTTTTTTCCTTACATTGATGCATTCAGAGAATTAGCATAAAGTCAGTCTTCATTTTTCACATATGTCACATGTAGCTAATGTTTACTTTTGTTGGGATTCTGAATAAATTACTGCCACCGTTGTAATGGTGGAATATGATGAAGTTTGGCAAGAATGGCATAAAGTTTAGTTGTGAATATGATGACATTGACTGGAAGAATCCCAGATCTTATCAAACTAGTGAACACTGCTATATAACCCACAGATTTTACAGACAATATTCTCAATAAATTACTGGATAATGTTGGAAAATGGTAATTGTATATGGTGGATAATTGAAATACACTAGTGCATTATAGTTTTCCATATACACTCTACTGTAGTACAGTGGTGGGTGTGAGGTAAAATACATGATTAGTAAGTATGAAAATAATGGGGTATAAGCTGCAGCAGTCCGAGTTAGACATCTTCTGTTAACCTCTAAGTTGTAAATGAATGACTGTGAGCTAACAGTGGTAAAAAGACACTTTTAACAAAGAAGCATTTTATTTATATGATATTTCACCTACTGGTGGCTTTATCAAGTGCATGAATGACATTAAAACACTGGTATATACAGGTGAGGTGCTACCTACTAGTCAGGTCATGTGCTGCTGGGAGAGGTCAAATGCTGCTGGGACAGGTCAGGTGTCATTACAGATGAGATCAAGTGATGCTGAATACATGTGAGGTCAGTGTTAGTTTATGGTATCTTTTCTCCCTCGGGAGCCAGAGACGGGTCATCGCAAGATTGAGACCCGTGCCAGGACTACGGTCTTGGTGAACATTATACATACATATGGTATCTTGTGTTTAATATGTTGATTCAAGATTGTCTGTACAATGGGTTTAGACAAAATATACATCCTTTATGTTTTCTTTAAGGTGTTGTTAGGTGGACAGTGGAAGCCTCAAGACACCTCCTGTTGCTGTGTTTTTGTTACCATGAGGTGTTTTAGTAAATTCTTTAAACACATCACCTCATTTAAACAAGAAGAAAGGCACAGCAAGAACCTACAGTATATTTTGTGGTAGTTATGACTGCTTTTATGTAGGTGAGACAGCTATGGATTTAGATACTAAACTTGAAGAGCATATATAATGCATACATTCTACACAGCAGTCCATGGACAGTAAACAGGAACATCTTATTTACAAAGAAAATACCTGGACTATATGTTGGTGTCTTCAGGCTGCCATCATTTATCTCGCTAATACCACGGACCAAAACAGAGGCATGTATATTTTGCATAAACCCACTGCATAGATAATCTTTAAGCAACACATTAAACACAATATATCAAAGCCTGGCCTGTTGACTTCACCTCCATCCAGCATTACTTAACTTCATTTATAACAGCACCTGACCTCCCCCAGCAGCACTTGACTTGACTTGGTAACACTTTACCTCCCTCTATGCTTTATATACCATTCTTTTCGACATCCATGTACTTGTTAAAGCCACCAGTGGGTGAAACATTGTATTAATAAGATGTTTCTTTAATGAAAGTGACATTTTACCATCAACTCTAAATTATCAGTCTATTTGAGTGAAATTGTCTTAAAATCTTGTACCGCCAAGGCCAGCGTAAAAAAAAAAAAAAAGTCAAGAACATCGTTCTCTAATTGTATTGGGGTGCAGGGTTAAGCAAAAAATGAAAAACGGCAGATTGGGAGAGAAATTATATTTGTCTTAAGTAACTGGATAAGTCTAGGAGTAATAATTTAAGAACTTTTAGAGACAATTGCAGCAGTGAGTGCTAAGGGTCTATAATTATTTAGGTTTATATGGTCTTTGCCAGGTTTTGGAAAGGAGATGTGTATAACGTCACTCCACTAAGCAGAGCTCCATATTAAAGTGAAAAGATCTGTGAGGAACATGTTTAAAGATGGAGGCAAGTTTTTTATTATTATGCATGATACATATACAGTATTACAGTATCTGATCCTCATGCTGATTCAGAGCAAGAACTGATGGCTGACTGAAGTTCTGGGTGCATGAAAAGTTTAATGTATACTGTACTTACTGTGACAAGCAGCGTGATGTAAAAGTGGACTGCTCCTTCGCCAGATTTCAGTTTTGCAATTTATTGTATGCGGTTAGTTCAATCAGAAATGGAGGTTATATTTTGAGCCAGTGCATTTTTTACCTCTCATGTGTCAGTAGCTGTGGTTTTATCAGCTTACAACTGGAGAGACTTCAAAGGAGTAATAGACAGGTTTCATTACTGTATTTATTGTAGTTACCAGTATTGATTATAATGTAACAACATGTTTGTCTTGCCTGATGCAAGGTTTTAGGAATAGAAGTTGTTGCTTATTTATGAGGACAGTTCTGTGTGGAGGGTGTCACTGGGGGCTGCAGGTGTGGAGGGTGTCATCACTGGGGTCTGCAGGTACAGAGGGTGTCACTGGGGTCTGCAGGTGTGGAGGGTGTCACTGGGGGCTGCAGGTGTGGAGGGTGTCATCACTGGGGTCTGCAGGTATGGAGGGTGTCACTGGGGTCTGCAGGTGTGGAGGGTGTCACTGGGGGCTGCAGGTGTGGAGGGTATCTCTGGGGGACTGCAGGTGTGGAAGCTGTCACTTGGAGCTGCAAATGTGAAGGTGTCACTGGGGTCTGCAAAAGGCTCTTATCTTCTCTAGCAGCAATATTGAAATCAGTTCCTTTGAGACCTATTTGAAAATGTTTGTGGTATTTATTGACAGAAACTGGAAGTTAAAGGATTACATAATTCAAATGCTTCATCCACTGTGTAAAAGTTGCTTGTGACTGAAGATGTTTAATAGAGTCCAAGTCAGACCAAAACATCATTATGAGTTTCAGTCTCCTATGTGTGGATTATTTGTGTATCAGGTTCAAAAGCATTCTCTTCATGGTAAGAAACTTGAGATTCCAGTATAGACACTTTGAAAAGTATTGTGAAGTGGTAATTTCCTGGGAGATTATCTATGCTAGTAATCTCCAAATGTTTTGTATATGTGAGACATGGAATTATAAAATATGCTTATAAAGTCTTCAAGTAATTGGTAAATGATGCATTTAAGTCACACTTATGGAAAAAAGTTGATAGGACATTGCAGTCTGGTCTGACCATTGTAAAGTTACAGCCGAGCAAGAAAAAGCAAAGACCAGAAGACAGATCAAGAATAGTGAGGGAGGGGGGAGTAAGAGGTGAGTGAAAGTACTGTAGTAGTACAAGTAGTAGTAGTAGTAGTAATAATAGTAGCACCACTAGTAGTAATAATAGTAGTACCACTAGTAGTAATAATAGTAGTACCACTAGTAGTAATAATAGTAGTACCACTAGTAGTACCACTAGTAGTACCACTAGTAGTAATAATAGTAGTACCACTAGTAGTAATGGTAGGGGTAGTAATAAACAGTTTAGTAGTAGTAATAGAATAATGGTGGTAGTAGTGATACATAAGAATAAAAGAACAAATAAGAAATGCAACAGGCCTACAAGCTCATGCTAGGCAGGACTATTAGTAGAGTAAAGAGGGTAAATTACACCTCAGGGCATTGGAGATCAAAGTAACTCAACACTAATACCTATCCCCAAGAAGCAGAAGAACACTGCTATAGGCCTACTGGTTCATACTATGAGAGAAAAAGGAAGCAAGAAAGTAGAAAATAAGAAGACAAGGATGGCAAAAGAAACAGAAAAGAGAGGTCAAGATAAAAGTTAAGGAGGCAAAAGTCAGGTCAAGCCACAAGCGTTTGGAAGATTTGAGCATTTGACAATGCACTGAGAAAGGCAGGCATCTATTGACTGGGATTAAGAGTCACATTAGGAATGTTGTGTGTAAAGGGCAGATTTATCTGTGAAGGCTAGAAGAAGGGATGATAATTTTAGCAGAGAACCATTTTACAGGATGGCCATGAGCTGTGACATGACCAAAAAGAGAATTGTGTTCTTTAAGTCTCTTGGAAAGAGGACATCCAGTTTCATCAAAGCATTGAAGAGGGCAGAAGGAGAAGGAAATGTGAAGTAGTCACCAGAGGCATCAGTGACAGAAGTATGAACCAGGTTATTATCAAGTGGATTAGCTTGGCAAATGCAAGTTTGATATCTAGAGGATGGTGGGTGATATTAAGATTTTGTAGATTGGAAAAGTACACCCTCAATTTAATGGAACAATTAGGAAAATGGGGGAGGTGGATGGCCAATAAGAGCAGCTCTGGTGGAGAGAGATGAGATTGTTTTGCTGTGATTATGACAATAACAGACATTTCTGTAACCATTAGATTTTATCTATTGTTTCTCTAGTTGAGTTTTTTAAAATTACTGTCCAGTACTTCACATTCAGGGTATCTTGTTACTTGATGCTGGACACTCCAGTTTGTTGTTATCCTTCCTCGAAAAATGACTAAAAATGCACAAGATCTTCTGGGCACACTTTTATCAGATAGAAACCTAGATAATTTATCAATAAATCTTTTATTGTCTTTGTGCAGTGTATTTGGCTTCAAATGATTGTTTGTCATTACAGGTATTACTCCTAGGCATTTTTTTTAATTTAGATATAGTACTGTATATGGTGTTCATAAAATAACTTGCTCTTTCATTATGGGTATAACCATAGATATGGAGCTATTATGGTCAGGAGCTGCATCAGATAGGATACTTTACTAGAGACAACGCATCCTTCAAGGGAAGGGGTTAGCAAGGTGGTGGTGAATTCTCTTCACCCAAGGAATTGTAGTTATCCTTCTTATCTGAAGCTCAAACCTAGCTACTTCCTCCCCTTCCTCTCAGCCCTCCCATTTCCCAAATGCTGTATGACCCTTACTGTAGTTGGTGAGGAATACTCAAACTGTGGCAACCTTTTGAAATATTTTATAGTCATTGTAGGCATCACTGAATCAGTAATATTTGTAAATGATAATTTTATTCAGTTGTTTATGTACATTAGGTCCCCCACTTACGACTTTAATGTGTTCAGAAAATTGTTCAAATGTTGAGTGTTTAGAACCCGGAATCTATTTTCCCATAGACATTCCAGTTACAGTTGAAGATGCATCCCTCAGTCAGAGTATTCCATTTTTAACTTAGGATATTTACCCAATACACAATGTTTTACATTTAGTACTCTTCCTTTTCACTTGCCAATACTTGAAGCTTTAAACATTGTTAAATATTTAAATAGTATATGCTAATTAAAGAGAACAGATCTACAGTACAGTTTACAGTATTAAACATTACAAATAAAATGTGTAGAGTAGGGTAGCAACCTGACTGTCTCCCTCTTTTTCTCATTCTCACTCTCCTTTTCACTCCCACCCTCTCTTGCATTTTATCTAACACAGTATTCTTTACATATGCTTACCACTTCCTCATTGCTGAGTTTGAGTGTGTGGTGTAGGAGAAATAGGGTGACAGGTGTAGGGGCAGGCAGCAGCAGCAGTAGCAGCAGCACTGTAGTATAAGAAAACTAACCTAAAAAGAGTAATATGTTATTTTGAAAATTGTAAATGTTAAATCTAAGGTTCTTATCCAATCTCTATCAAGCAAATATGTGCTTTCTATATGTGCATAAAATGAGCATACACAAAGTGTGAGTGCATTTGGTAAAAACTAACAAGCAGAAAAACAATAGGTATACGCTTATATCTCAATCTAATAATAATAATACCATAACACTAAAATTAATAATAATAATAATAATAATAATTTATTTCCAAAAACATAAAAGTGATACAGTTTATGTGAAAAGTCCATAGAATCCGTAGCATTTCAGGCAGACTTAAGTGTAAATCCACCAAACAAATAGGAGTTCTCTCTACTTGTATAGAATTAGCCTACACAAGATACAAATGCATCTGGTACAAAAACGATTCAGAAGAAAAATATTTAAAATCGTTTGAGTTTATGCAGTGATCATAACTGCAGATGAGCTTTTGTAAGAAATAATTGGTTTCAAAGTGCCAGTGTCATAAATTAGAGCATCGTAAGGCGGGGACCTATTGTAGCTGCTTAATTTTTTCTATTTATCCCATTATGTACATGAGGATATAACAGGTTGGCTTTGATAGATAGATAGCACGAAAAACCTATTCTTGACTGAAAAAAAGTTGAAATTTATTGTTGTCCTTATGTAAGTACAGGATTAAATAACCGAATTAACAAATGTAACTCTCTTTAATACTGACTTTATCGTCAACTTCAGAACGTTCAGTTAAAATATCTGTATCAGGCATTTACAAAAGCATAATTGCTTAACTGTTGTATCCTGTATTTCACTTGCAACAGAAATTGGCCAGATTGACTTCAGTGGGATTCAACTGCCAGGCACCCGTCGAAGCAGCTCATCCTCGGCATCTGTAGGTCAGACCCCATCAAATAATAGTCATGGCCAGGTGGCAGGTCAGGAGGGTGAGGAAGAAGAGCTGGGTGATGATGGGGACTTGGGCCTGGGTAGCACAGGTGGGAATGGTGTCCGTGTGCTCTCCTCTCGATGACTCAAAGTGCACACTCGGAATTGATGACTGGACCCTAAACACTACTTACACACTATTGGTATTAATTTATGGGTGTAGATAAAGTTTCAGGGAACTTCTTTTGGAGTTTGCAGTAAACTTTTGTCTGAAATTTTTCTTTTGTTTTTTATTAATTTTTTGTAAGAATAGAATTCATAAAGATTTGCAGCTTATTTCCATTACTTGCCAGTGTTAAATATGTATAATTACTGCACAGGTTACAACCAGTTAAAATTCCACTGTATTGACTTTTGAGACATCTTGTTTGTTGCATGTCTACATTAATGCCATAATACATCATTTGCTTTTGTGGTTTGAGTTTTCGCTTACATTTAGTTTTAACTATCAGTGTAAAATCTTAATTATGCATTGAAGATTTGTAGTGTAAGTAATAGCCTTTTGATATGTATTAATCCAAATGGTATACTGCCATCAGTATTGAATCAGAGACACACATTGTAGAACAAGTTTTATTGTGGCAACATTTCTCTCTCTCTGAGATCTTTATTAAATCATACTGATGACTTGATAAAACTAAGAGCAAAATATTGTCCTGATGAAACCTTGTTCTGTAACCTGTGTCTTTTCTTGGTATGTTTTATTGACTAGTTGGTACATGTATTTGGTTTAGTATACTGTACGTCTAACAGACTTTAAGTACAGTATGTTAAGAATTTTGATCATAATAATGGGGAATAATTTCAAAGATCCTAGGTAGTAGGTTGGTAGACAGCAACCGCCCAGGGAGGTACTACCGTCCTGCCAAGTGAATGTAAAACTGAAGCCTGTAACTGTTTTACATGATGGTAGGATTGCTGGTGTCTTTTTTTTTCTGTCACATACACATGCAAGATTTCAGGTACATCTTGCTACTTCTACTTACACTTAGGTCACACTACACATACATGTACAAGCATATATATACACACCCCTCTGGGTTTTCTTCTATTTTCTTTCTAGTTCTTCTTGTTTATTTCCTCTTACCTCCATGGGGAAGTGGAACAGAATTCTTCCTCCATAAGCCATGCGTGTTGTAAGAGGCGACTAAAATGCCGGGAGCAAGGGGCTAGTAACCTCTTCTCCTGTATATATTACTAAATGCAAAAGGAGAAACTTTCGTTTTTCCTTTTGGGCCACCCCGCCTCGGTGGGATACAGCTGGTGTGTTGAAAGAAAGTTGAATTTCAAAGATGGCAATATAGTAGATAATTATTAGTTTCATATGTGGATGGGGTTTTTAGAATCTAGTTTCTTAAGAGCTCTAGCAATGAGACTTGGTGTTCTTTTAAGCCTCATATTTTAATTAGCAAGAAATTTTCCCCACAGTAATTTGTTTGAAGGTAATCCCATTACACACTAAAAAATGTTCTTGCTGTTTGTAAAATCTTGAGACATTTATATTTAATAAAAAAGTATTGAAGGGGTAATGAAGGGGTTTCCTTGATGCTGTTAAATACAATTGGAGCTACTTATCTTCCTTGGATCAAACCTGATTATCTTCCTTTCTCCAGGTTCTGTATGGCTATTATGGGCTTACTTCTTTCATATGATTATAATAATGTTCTCTGAGGAAAGCTGTCACGTAGTTTTAATTAAGCTGATTGACGATGCCTTTAATTATTCTTTGGGTTCCATAACTGGGATATACATTAACATAATGACATTACCAAGTGACAGAGGAGTAAAATTGTTTAGTATGCTTAGGCATATCTCAGTCTTGTCAAAAGCTTTCATTATAATGTATCATTGTCTTGGCTTTTGTTTTAATCTGTCTTAAAATTTGTTGTTGGTATATAAACTGAGTGGGGAAATATAAGGCATTGAAGGTAGCTCTGACAGCAAGAATGACTTGTATGTTTTTTACCTACATATGTATATGGAGCCTCACTGTATTGGAACTCAAAAAAAAAAAAAAGCACAGGCAAGACAAATCTGAGTCCAGGCTACCCTTGTTAATACCAAATTAGTGAGGCTATTGTTAGTTGCAATCTGTATGCCCACTTAGCCATCACAACACACATGGGCATATATACGTCTGGAAATGAATGCTTGTATATTGTCTTGGCAGTGTGGCCTAAGATAACAGTGCCTCTGCTGTACATTGAGTAAATTAATACAAAACACAGAAAATTGTATATTATTTTATAAAGTTTTACAATTACTGTGCATACTATGAACTAAAAACTGAAGTGTGAAATTACCAGAGAAAGGAGAAAGACAAGGGTGATTGGGGTATACTATCATTTCTTTTAATGCACTGGCCGTCTACCACAGAGGCAGGGGGACTCAAAAAGAAGAAGCACATTCGTCATCATTCACATAATTGTTCTCTTGCCAGATGCATGTTGACATTGTAATTCAGATGGCCCATGAAAATATGATGAAATAATTCTATTTTGCTTTATAGTTACTCTTCAAATTTGAAGTGATCATGACAGCCGTCTACTCAGATTATTGATATTACTTTGAAAATTACTACTTGTTGCAGGCCATGTTATACCCAAATACTCTATTGTTTATGTCTAATCTGAGAGTACTAATGTAGGTTCACAAGGGTTAGCTTTCAGGAGGGGGAGTGAATCTTGAAGCCTTGGCTATTAGAAAATTTCGCACATCCAGTTTATTTAAATATATTTTGTCTGTATCTCTATAAGTGTTATTTTAGTTTGCTTGACATCAACATTCATAAGAATAAGCGCATTTTGAATGAAATCGTATTATTAGTTTTGAACTCAGGGATTGTGTGCCAAGCAATAAGACACAGTGGAAACCAAGGGAAAAACTTAAATAATTTGAAGTTATCCATGAAATGACCTTCATTGAATGTTTAATTGAAGCATGTGAATTCTGGGCTTTGACTCTATTCTAGTTGAGGACTAATGTGATGGTACACTCTAATTGCTGAGTACTAAAATGTTGGAGCACTGTAATCTGAGTGCTAATGTGATTATACTCACCTATTATGAGGAAGCACAGTACAGTATTGTTATTACAGTGATGACATGAGGGAATATGTATTGTAATTACATTGTTGATGTAAGTAAGTACTGTAACCAGAGAGTCTTAATGTGAGTGAGTAGTACTGTAACCCAAGAGTGTTAATGTGAGCGAGTACTGTAACCATAGAGTCTTAATGTGAGTGAGTATTGTAACCAGAGTGTGTTAATGTGAGCGAGTATTGTAACCAGAGTGTGTTAATGTGAGCGAGTATTGTAACCAGAGTGTGTTAATGTGAGCGAGTATTGTAACCAGAGTGTGTTAATGTGAGCGAGTATTGTAACCAGAGTGTGTTAATGTGAGCGAGTATTGTAACCAGAGTCTTATTGTGAATGAGTTCTGTAACCAGAGAGAGTAAATGTGAGTGAGTGCTGTAATTTTTATGAAAGAGAAAACTTTCTTGAGTAATATATATATGCAGTAGTGTACCAGTACTGTACCTAATTATTTGCATGCAAGTATAATGCTTGGAAAAATACATGTGTCTTTTTTATCAATGCATGCCATTATGTGTGAAAAGATAATTATGAGGTACTCTACTTCAGTAAAATAATTTGAAGTATGATCCTGTAGGACTGACTGTAGCTATAGTAATAGTGTACGTATATACTGTAATATATTTTGTCTTAATGTGAGTGAGTAGTACTGTAACCCAAGAGTGTTAATGTGAGCGAGTACTGTAACCATAGAGTCTTAATGTGAGTGAGTATTGTAACCAGAGTGTGTTAATGTGAGCGAGTATTGTAACCAGAGTGTGTTAATGTGAGCGAGTATTGTAACCAGAGTGTGTTAATGTGAGCGAGTATTGTAACCAGAGTGTGTTAATGTGAGCGAGTATTGTAACCAGAGTGTGTTAATGTGAGCGAGTATTGTAACCAGAGTCTTATTGTGAATGAGTTCTGTAACCAGAGAGAGTAAATGTGAGTGAGTGCTGTAATTTTTATGAAAGAGAAAACTTTCTTGAGTAATATATATATGCAGTAGTGTACCAGTACTGTACCTAATTATTTGCATGCAAGTATAATGCTTGGAAAAATACATGTGTCTTTTTTATCAATGCATGCCATTATGTGTGAAAAGATAATTATGAGGTACTCTACTTCAGTAAAATAATTTGAAGTATGATCCTGTAGGACTGACTGTAGCTATAGTAATAGTGTACATATATACTGTAATATATTTTGTGTTTTTAGGTAGATATTATTAATATTGTACAGTAATATATGTTTTATATGAAACTTTTATTCTAATTTTTTTGCAAATTGGAGAATGTTGAATGTGGAGTATTCAAAATTTGGATTTGTCCAAATAATTTAAAATTTCAAAATTTTGTCCAAATATTTAAGAGGTTCCCAATTTCTAGTACTGTATTCAGAATTTTTAATAATTTGGTCACACTCAGCCAAATGAGAGATTATCACATACTCTGCCATATTTCCTATACATGTATGTATTGAGAATATTTTTAGAAAATACATTTACAGTATTATAAGAAAAAGCCGAGTGCAAGGAATTCGTGAAATGCGTCACGGGGTTACAGCACATGGCATCATTCCTGATATTAGTGTAAAAATCATGTCATGGGTACGTTGTAACAAAATTGCTCTAATTTATGCACTTTCTGGCTTGGAAATTGTTGAAAACATTTTGAACCCAAACATGACCAAAAAAAATTTTGCAGTTGCAATGAGAATGATGGGGAACTAGTTGTTCCTGACACAAGTACACAACCTGTTTGGAGAAGAAATATTTCAACACCAACCAGGAAATGTGTCGGCTGCACAGGATACGGGAACAGTTTTTTAAAAAGCAAGCCCTAAATGGATAAAAGTTAATGGAACAGATATTATTTAAGAAAATACCTTTTATTACCCCAGTATAAAATTTTTAAATAGGTGGAAAAAAATTTTGGTAGAGTAAAGGGAGGAGGGGAAAGGGGTGTAAGGGGGCCCGCTCAATTTGGAAGGGCAGCAGCAAAATATATAAAAGGGGGTTAAAAACAACATTTACATGAAAAATGGAAAGGGTTGAAAACCCTTTTGGGCCCGGGACTATGGAACATTTTTAAGAGAGGGGGGGGAAATGTTGGCCACACTTTTTAGACTTTAAATACCAGCCTTTGACTCAGGCTGCCCTTCAAGGGGGGGTGCTTTCGTCCAATGAAATCCCTTGATTTTGGGGAAATTTGGAGAAACACCTCTTTCTTGGATCAAACCTTACCTCCCATTCCCCAGGTGGGTATACCCTTACAGTTTGGGTGTTTTCCCCAAAGAATATTTTTCCCTTCTTTCAACAACGACAGTACCCCCAAGGCGGAAATGGCCCAAAAAAAAAAATGAAATTTTTCTCTTTTTAAATTTATTAATATATACAAAAGGGGGTTTTACTAGCTCCTTGCTCCCCCCATCTTTTTATCCTTCTTAACCCTTTGGGGGTCGACAGGCCTCCCAAAACTCTTTTCTCAGGGTGGGCCAAAATTTAAAAAAAAAAAAAATTATTTTCTCTTATGAAAAGAAAGAGAAATCTTTTTCCCATCATAAGGAAAACCAAAATTTAAATTTGATGGAAAACTTAGGGGAATTTAATGCTCTGGGCAATTTACCGGTTCTGGGCAAATTTTTTAAACGCATGGGCGATTTTGCCCCCCTTTGAGCCCCTTTTTTCGGCCCAAATTCCACAGTACTACCCCAAAAAAAAACAGAATTTTTCGCTAGAATTTCCATTTTTTCTATCGAATGGGGGGCAAGAAACCACTCATTTATGAAACTAAACTATCCAGTACAGTGGTCAAATTTGAAATTTTTTGGCCAATTTCACAAAAAATTTCAAAAGATCCCCAAATTTCCGAATAGGGTTTCCCAAATTTAAAAAAAAAAGACATTCTTGGCAAAAAAATGAAAATTTCCCCCTGGTCCCTTAGTCACGTCTCAAGGGCCCCCCTTATATTTTTTTGCTAAACCCCTTTTAAAATTTTTTTTCTCAAAAAAAAATTTAAATTTACTGTTTTGCAGACAAATTGGGATTTGTGTAAAAAATGGTTAAATTTATTGGTGAACTTGAAAAAAAATATTAGCTCACCAGTTGGGCCCTTATTGCACGCTTTGGGAAAAATTTGTTTACTTTTTTAAATTTGGTAAAATCGAACAATTTTTTGCTACTTTGACTTTAATTTTAAGGTACCTTTCATTGTAAAACCATTTTTAAAAATCATCTCAATTTCTGTAATATTTTCCCCTTTCCCTTCTATAAAAAGAGACCAAGAAAACTAAATACAAAAAATAAAAACCAAAACAAAATAAAGTGGGAAATTTGCTGTTTTATTTCCAAAAAAAAATTTTCAAAATTTTTTTTTCTCATTAAGCACCCGTGTGCTGCAGGGTTTTTTTTTTTTAAATGGCACCCCGACCACATAGCCCCCTTCTTTTATATTTAAAGGGCCAAACCCCTTTCTCCCCCCTAATTTGAGGGCGCTAGAATTTAGGCGTACTAGTACGTCAAAAACCCTGGGTCGAAACCGTACAAATACGCCCCGAAAACCCTTTAAAGGGGTTTAAAAAACCCCATGGCTTTTGGGGAAAAATTTTGTTTTCCCCTTCTCCATGGAGATAAGAGGGAAAAAAACAAACAAGAACTAGTAAGAAAAAAAAAGAAAACCCCAAAGGGGGGTGTAAAAAATATCCTTTTTACAGTAAAGTGAAATGTGACCTAAGTGTAAGTAAAAAATAGCAAGAAATTTCCGAAATCTTGCCTTTATGAACAGAGAAAGACCCCCAGCAATCCTACCATATGTAAAAGAAGTACAGGCTTCGAATTTCATTCACTTGGCAGAACAGTAGTACCTTTCCCGGTGGTTTGCTGTCTACCACCTACACCTAGGTTTTTCCCCCCAATATTTTCTGTAATAATAAAAAAAGAAAAAAAAAGGGATAAAAAAATTAATAAAAATAAAAAAATTTAAAAATAATAATAATAATCTGAAAAAGGGGCCCCCAAAATTGAATCTCTTATTTTTTAAAAGTTTTTATATTTGTGTCCAAGTTTTTCACTTTGTATCAGTCATGAAATTTTAACCAAAATTTGGGCCCCGAGGGGGTACAAATATGCTGTTTTTGCCCGATAAAATTTAAATTTTGAGTGCTATACATAAATGGGGACGCTTTAGTTAAAGGGATTATACAAAAATTCCTTTTAATCTCATCTAGTTTTAAATGAATAAATTACTGTATAGTAGTATAAAAGACATTCCTTTCTTCAACTTTTATTTGTTTTTTCCTGTTGTACTTAATCTAAGACTTTTTAGAATTAAAAATCAAAACATTCCCTTTTTTATTCAAATTTTTTTTTTTGGGTTTTTTGAAATGGGGTTTTGAGCCCTAGTGATTTATCCCCTTTAATTTAATATATTTAAATAAAAATGAAAATTTATAAAATAAAAATTTCAGTGGAAACCCCCACGTAACAATATTAATTTGGGACCTGAAAAACGAATAACGTTAGGTGAGTTTTTTAGCGTTAGCCGAGGCAAAATGTTAGCGTTAAAATGTATCGTTAGGCGAATTTAACGTTATGCGAAGCGTTCGTTAGGCGAGGGTCCACTGTACTTATAGAACAAAGAAAAATATTTTCTAGGCTAAAGATGAGTGTAAGATACAACACCTGTACTGTACCAACAGTGTAGCATATTTGACTTGCAATACAAGAGGACTTGCATTATCCATGTTTATAATGTAGACATATTCAACTTGATTACTAGTTATTATGCATGAACGAAATGATCTTTGTGACGTTCATTTCTTCCATAGCATATGATTTTGAGAATAGTATACGTTATCAAAACTGGATAATCTATAAATACAGAAAAAGACATGAATAACTTTGTTGAAATATGCACTTTCATATTCATTAATTTAATGTTGACTCTTATGTAGTTATTTTTTAAAGTTTCTTGTAACCTTCCTTGAATGTTTTTTCGTTATCAATGTGTATACTGATAGATGCTGTAGTTAGACTGGTTATTTTTACACTGGCAACAAAATTGTGTAGTATTACTTATATTACCGTACTGTATGTGTAATAACATAGAGTGTAGTATAGTAAGATTGTCCATGATCAGCAGGTCAAGATGACCCGGCAGTGATAAGAGACATGCTGTTGGCCAACCCAGAGCAACTGGCACTTCTGCGCCACAACAATCCAAAATTAGCTGAGGCCCTCACCAGTGGTGACTTAGGTAAGTTTATAGTTTGTATATCTCAGGGTTTGTTATCCTATGATGTTTTGAATAGTGCAATTCATTCCTACACTTTGTACCACTTTTTCTTTCTTTTCAAGCTTATCTTGGCAATGATGATATTTAGCCAAAACTGAAGTATTCGGCTGAGAACGTACGACATTCCTCGTTGTCCTTATGCCTTGAGTACTTGTGAATTTAATGAGAAGCTAATCTGAGGGCTATCAGTGTTCATAATTGTTAGAATTAGGAATATATGTATGTGTGTGTTGTGAATATATTTTATCATTTTGTGAATATACTTTTTCATTTAGAGGTAGGGTGGATCAAAGAAAAGAAACACTTTCATCATAATTCACTCCATCACTGTCTTGCCAGAACTACACTGATTCTTCAGCTCATATGGCCCTCCAAATTCCATAAAATATTCCTGCCCCTCCTACAGAGGGGGCATAAATAAATAGAAAATTATTATTTTTTTTTTATTATCACACTGGCTTATTCCCACCAAGGCAGGGTGGCCCAAAAAAGAAAAACTTTCACCATCATTCACTCCATCACTGTCTTGCCAGAAGGGTGCTTTACACTACAGTTTTTAAACTACAACATTAACACCCCTCCTTCAGAGTGCAGGCACTGTACTTCCCATCTCCAGGACTCAAGTCCGGCCTGCCAGTTTCCTTGAACCCCTTCATAAATGTTACTTTGCTCACACTCCAACAGCATGTCAAGTATTAAAAACCATTTGTCTCCATTCACTCCTATCAAACACACTCACGCATGCCTGCTGGAAGTCCAAGCCCCTCGCACACAAAACCTCCTTTACCCCCTCCCTCCAACCTTTCCTAGGCCGACCCCTACCTCGCCTTCCTTCCACTACAGACTGATACACTCTTGAAGTCACTCTATTTCGCTCCATTCTCTCTACATGTCCGAACCACCTCAACAACCCTTCCTCAGCCCTCTGGACAACAGTTTTGGTAATCCCGCACCTCCTCCTAACTTCCAAACTGCAAATTCTCTGCATTATATTCACTCCACACATTGCCCTCAGACATGACATCTCCACTACCTCCAACCTTCTCCTCGCTGCAACATTCATCACCCATGCTTCACACCCATATAAGAGCGTTGGTAAAACTATACTCTCATACATTCCCCTCTTTGCCTCCAAGGACAAAGTTCTTTGTTTCCACAGACTCCTAAGTGCACCACTCACCCTTTTCCCCTCATCAATTCTATGATTCACCTCATCTTTCATAGACCCATCCGCTGACACGTCCACTCCCAAATATCTGAATACATTCACCGCCTCCATACTCTCTCCCTCCAATCTGATATCCAATCTTTCATCACCTAATCTTTTTGTTATCCTCATAACCTTACTCTTTCCTGTATTCACTTTTAATTTTCTTCTTTTGCACACCCTACCAAATCATCCACCAATCTCTGCAACTTCTCTTCAGAATCTCCCAAGAGCACAGTGTCATCAGCTAAGAGCAACTGTGACAACTCCCACTTTATGTGTGATTCTTTATCTTTTAACTCCACGCCTTTGCCAAGACCCCGCATTTACTTCTCTTACAACCTCATCTATAAATATATTAAACAACCATGGTGACATCACACATCCTTGTCTAAGGCCTACTTTTACTGGAAATAATTTCCCTCTTTCTACATACTCTAACTTGAGCCTCACTATCCTCGTAAAAACTCTCACTGCTTTCAGTAACCTACCTCCTACACCATACACCTGCAACATCTGCCACATTGCCCCCGTATCCACCCTGTCATACGCCTTTTCCAAATCCATAAATGCCACAAAGACCTCTTTAGCCTTATCTAAATACTGTTCACTTATATGTTTCACTGTAAACACCTGGTCCACACACCCCCTACCTTTCCTAAAGCCTCCTTGTTCACCTGCTATCCTATTCTCCGTCTTACTCTTAACCCTTTGACTGTTTCCAATGTATAAATACATCTTACGAGCCAATGTTTCTGACGTATTTATACGCACAAATTCTAGCGGCTTCAAATCAAGCGCCAAAGGCCTGGTAGGCCTACACGAGAGAGAATGGGTCTCAGTGGTCGGTGTGCACCCTGTGAAAAAAATCTGGGACCCAGCGGTGCATTGTGGGAACGCCATGTTGTTAGTCCATTTTTACCATGCCTCTCGGTAAGAAGTTCCTCACTCCTCGGCGGATTGGAGGTCTTTTTTTCCCAAGTGATAGCTCTAACAAGCGATGAAAATTCAGTGACACAGTGAATCCAGGTTTTGAATGAGTGTTTCTGAAAAAAGTGCCCAGGATAAGTAATTATTGATGAAAACCCAGATTGACCCACAACCACTTCCACCTCTGTGCTGTGCCGGCTTGTTCACGTTCAACGTTCGCCTGTACCAGGACTGAAGAGGAAACTATTTGTCGTGACAACCACCCTGATGATAGCAGTGATAGTGATAGTGATAGTGAATTCAATGTCATTGAAAGCAGTTCTAGTGACATTGAGAGTGAATATTCCCAGTGAAGCCCAGTATGTACGACTAGCATGCGGTCTGTTAGTTTTTTCATATGTTGTTCCAAGGAAGGAGAAACTCTGGAGCACATCCCGGTGGGCCTGCACCACTACCTTGATAGTGAAGATGACGATATGTAACGATGTGTATGGATGGTGCAGTGAGGGAGGAGGTCAGTGGGTGGTGATAGTGAGGGTGAGCACGGCCCATGTGGCACCATCAGCGGGCACGCTATTTCACCCACGCTGCTGACGGCAGCAACAACAGCCTCACCTACCCAACTCCCAGAACACTGCACCACCACAACCTGCACAACCACAACCTGCACAAACCACAACCTGCACAACCACAACTCACGGTACAAATCCAGACCCCACCAGCAGACCGCATCTGGGATTGGCAGGACGGTGACGAGTTTGTTGTCCCAGTACCCATGACTTTGATGAAACACAAGTGGAATAAAGTCCATCCTTGTCCCTTGGGAACAAGCCAGTGAACTGGACTGCTTGAGTTATTCTCGATGAACCCCTGATGGACATCATTGTCAGGGAACAAACACATACGTGATTACTCCATGGCAAAGACAATTCTCTCACACCCATAGCATGTCTACACAAGTGGAAGGAGACAACTGTGCAGAGATGTACCTGTTTTTTTTCGCCACAATAATGCTTATGCCACATGTGTATAACACACTGTCACCACATACTGGGCAACGAGAACGCCTGATTTTCAACTCCAGGTTTTACAAGTGACGAAATAGTGTCAATCGTTTCGCTGATGCTGTACGTAATGTTACACTATTTCAGACAAAAACCAGGCCTGACAGAAGCGACAGTTATATAAGATCCAAGAAATGTGTTTATGTACCTGAACAAAAGTGCTTGCATGTATTTTTATCCTTCAGAGGAAGCTTGTTATTGAGGAGTCCTTGATTTTAATTCAAGGAAGACTCTCATTCAAGCAATATATACCAAGCAAGAGGAAACGGCATTGGATAAAGCGATTGTACTGTGAGATTGCAGAAGTGGTCTATTTTGGATATCATTTGTATACACTGGCAGTAATCTTTGAGAGATACCATGAAGTTATTGGGTATCTCGGTGATGTGGTTCGAACAATGATGGAACTATATCTTGGTAGGGCATATGTTATGTTACTGATACCTGTACACAAGAGCCCCTTATCTCATGATTTCCTGCGAGAGAACTTGACAGACGTGTGTGGCACAGTGCTGGTAATCGTAAACATATCCAAGGTTCAAACGCGGGCACTCGCACGGTGAGGTGGGCAAGCCTTTGCTGCCAAAGGACATCATGGCATTTCGGTGCATGACAAACGGGAATGTCACATGTTGACATCAGTTCACAGAAACGAAATGTACCCAGTGCAGGACAACAGAGAAACACAATGAACCACAAAATTCTAAAGCCTTCAGCTGTCATGGGACTACAACCTCAATATGCGCTTAGTGGACAAATGTACATGAGATTGGGTTTGCAGACTGTGTACGCAAGAGTTGTATAAAGTGTTATATAAAACTTTATTTTCCATCTTGTTGATTATCTCGATGCTAAATGCTTATAGACATAATACAAGTTAGAAGACCAACAAAACACCAAAATATGTGAATTTAGCCTGTCAGTAATCAGACAAAATGCAAAGTAACAAGGAGCACCCTCCTGCAATAGAACCACGCCCACAGACGTCATCTCGTTTGAGCCCTGTGATCACTACCCCATACATCCGCCTTCCTACTACTGCAAGCAAAAAATGGCTCAAAGAGGTGTTATGTATGTATGCAATCACACAACGCCCACAAACCCGCAAGACACTCGTTTTATGTGTGAATGTGCCCACTGCATAACCCCTGTTTCAAAGAGTTCACAACTGCAGCAGTTCTCTAGGAACGTGTTTTATGACTGTACATATGTATATATATTTGGAACAATAGTGATAAACTATTGTTTTGTATTGTTTGTTTGTGTATACAAAGTGTATACACAAACTTAAAAGTGATAAAGTTTGTTCTGTTATTGTGTTGTAAACAATGAGTGTAAATTTGAAACAATGCACCTTACAATGTCTCACAGTAGGCCACATAAGTACCACCTGATCAGAAAAATATTGAAAAATGCAAGAAACACTTTGAATTAGAGTAAATAAAAGATACCGGGTGGGCGGCAGGTCGCCGCTGTTGCCGGTACGCACGACACTTCTGCAAACTTTAGCGGCTCTATATCCTCGGTAAGTCTGATGGCACAATTTTTTTTTAGCGCTTTAAAACACTACTAAATATCTAAACATTTTCATAAAGAAAAAAAAAAAAAAATTTCCGAATATTTGGCGGACATAGAATGACGTTTCAGAGAGGGCCTGAAACGTCAAAGGGTTAATTTCTTTCAGTAATAACTCTACATACCCCGCCACTTTAATACAGGTATACTGCCACAGACTTATCTTCCCCCTATAATTTTTTGCA